AGACATTTATAACAAACATTTTATGAAGAAAATCCCTTGTTCGTTTAAAATTAAAATAAGCGAAATCGGCCCAATTTCATACGATCCTGCCTGACATGAAAATTTTCTCCACGATAAGGCTAGTGGCCATTTCTAAAAGATTTTGGGTCGCTTAGTCAAAAATGGAAAGATATATACACATTTGAAATTTAAGAAAACAAGGCAAATAGCAAAATCGGCTAAAAACGGCTAATCTTTTTCTGCAAAACGGCTAACAAATAGGCTGCCGGCTAAATCGAAAATTCTCCGGCTGTTTGCTATCGCAACAGGCTATATCTAGCCGGAAAACGCTAAAATGGCAACACTGAAAACAACAATCAGCTCTTCAGCACATAATGTAAACAAACTAACACATGCAACAAAAACAGTGTTGCCACTTGTTTGAAATATGTGTTATATCGGTGAATTAGAACTCTTTATATCGTAATCTTCTATAGACATACGTTCTAAAATAAAATAAAAATATATTATTTATTCTTAGGAATTACAAATACCATAACTTTATTGATTTTAAAGCAGCCATCCTCGACCTATAGGACAATATACCGATTAATGTGGTGCGTGCCTCATGCAACAGTTCTGGAAAAAGAATTAAGCGTGTTGTGGAAAACAAAGGCTATATAATAGAGCAACTGACTTTTCATACTTCATATTATAATTGGTGATCCTTTCAACTTTTCAAAAAATAGCTTTGATTAATAACAACTACTTAGTTTTTTTATGAGCATTTACTGGTCACACTGTAAATAACAATCCAAAATTAAACGTAAGAGCCATTGAAATTTTTATATGAAATTGGCCCATAATGAGATATTTGCAAAAGTAAATACATAGAATACATTTTTTTTTTGTATTTCGTCGCTCGAATAAAGAAACAGTGTAAATGCCACATACACTGTTATTCGATAATTGCACCATTGTATAGACAATCCTTTAATCTATTAGATAAATCTTTAGTTTTCTTAAATATCTCTTTGGCTCACTAATTTATTCCCGAAAAACTAAATTGTATTTGTATGGTTTGTAATCTAATGGCCTTATTCATAAAAAATAAAATAGGTTTAAAGAGCTCTATAAAGTGACATTTTCATACGAAATTTCGATTTATAAAGCAGTTAAAGTGTTCTTTATTTTTTATGAATTTGGGTATATATATATAAAAATTAAGCCGAAAAAAAGTGTGCGTTTGTCCGTGGTAATCTCAGCAACGCGTGTAAGGAACACAATGAAAGTTTCACACATTGTTGGTGTTGCTTTGGCAAAGGTTTCTGTGAAGTTTGGTTGAAATCCGATAACGCGTGTGTGTGCGGTGCGTCGGTTAAGTGAGTGTGTTTTTGCTATTTGCCGCACGTATTTTTTGTACCGCACATAGCATTCATTAGAATTGAATACATTTTGGTCGTGTGTGTCTGGGCCGATTATTATGAAATTTGGTATATATATATATTTTTCCACGGAGAAGGTTAGTATAATATGCTTATTGATTACACTCGCCACCAGGTGGCGCTGTACGAGGACCCGGGTAACCCTAGGATGTGTTTTTACATTGTGGGTATCAAATCAAAGCTACTGATGAGTGCTTTAATACAGAGTATTTTTTTTGATCTCTGAGTGACCAGGGTCTCGAGATATAGCCAAAAAGGTGGACCAAGGTACCCTTGGATGTGTTTGTACAATATGGGTATCAGATGGAAGCTGTTGATGAAAGCTTTTAAGTGAAGTAATTTTTACTGCCCGTTTCCGGGATAAAGAAAGGAGATGGAGCTGGAGATGGAAGAGGAAAAGGAATAGCTACAGGAAGAGGAAGAGGAAGAGGAAGAGGAAGAGGAAGAGGAAGAGGAA